AAAAAAAAGCCAAGAGTGGTGGTGCATACCTGTAATTCCAGCTACTCAGGAGGCTGAGGCATGAGAATTACTTGAACACGGGAGGCAGAGGTTGCAGTGAGCCAAGATCATACCACTGCACTGCAGCCTCCGTCTCAAAAAATAAATAAATAAATAAAAATAAAAGGTAACAGATGTGAAGGACAAATGGATTGGATTTTTGTTGTTGTTGTTGTTGTTTTTTGAGGCAGAGTCTTGCTCTGTTGCCCAGGCTGGAGTGCTGTGGCGTGACGGCGCGATCTCGGCTCACTGCAAGCTCTGCCTCCCAGGTTCACGCCATTCTCCTGCCAGGTTCACGCCATTCTCCTGCCTCAGCCTCCCGAGTAGCTGGGACTACAGGCGCCTGCCACCACGCCCGGCTAATTGTCTTGTATTTTTTAGTGGAGACGGGGTTTCACTGTGTTAGCTAGGATGGTCTCCATCTCCTGACCTTGTGATCCGCCTGCCTCAGCCTCCCAAAGTGCTGAGATTACAGGCGTGAGCCACCGCGCCCGGCCTTTTTTTTTTTACTGCAACATCTGCCTCCCGGATTCAAGCAATTCTCCTGCCTCAGCCTCCCGAGTAGCTGGGATTACAGGCGCACACCGCCACGTCCGGCTTTTTTTGTGTATTTTAGTAGAAACGGGGTTTCACCGTGTTGCCCAGGCTGGTCTTGAACTCCTGAGCTCACGCAATCCGCCCTCCTCGGCCTCCCAAAGTGCTGGGATTACAGGCGTGGAGTCTGGAACTCCTGAGCTCAGGTACACGCCTGAGCCACCGCGCCAGACCCTTTGTTTGTTTTTGAGACAGGTTCTCGCTCTGTCTCCTAGGCCGGAGTGCACTAGTGCAATCCGGCTCACTGCAGCCTGGGCTCAAGCGATTCCCCTGCCTTAGCCTCCCGAATAGCTGAGGCTACAGGCGCGGGCCACCATGCCCAACTAATTTTGTAAATTTTCTTTTGTAGAGACGGGGGTCTCCCTAGGCTGCCCAGGGTGGTCTCGAATTCCTGGGCTCATGCCATCCTTCTGCCTTGGGCCTTCCAAAGTGTTGTGATTACAGGCGTGAGCCACCGCGCCTGGCCAATTTGCAGTCTTTAAAAAAAAAAAAAAGTTTCTCGCGCCCACACGATTTTTACAGTGGGCCTCTAACATGGGCAGGGAGGGGGGGGGGCTATTAAAGTTGGGGAAACTGAGGCTCAAAGCCAGATGGGGCCTTCATCAATCTAGACACAAGGTCTAGGAGGTCTCTTCCAGTTGATGCTATTAGAGGCGGCTTTGGGCGGAACTGGCAACACTAGCGACCTGGCCGGGACTATCGCCAGCAAATGGAAAGGACTGAGGGTTCCTGAGGCTCGCAGGCCGCTTAGCACGAGAGCCGGGCGGGACTAAGGCGCCTGGCCTTGGCTGGAGTGAAAACCAGGTCTGGATCTCACAAGAGCCCGACCCTGGAGCCAAAGCCGGACTATGATTAGAGGAGACAGAAGAGCCAACGGATTCCCAAACGGAGCGAGTGGGAAGGGAAATCCTGGGGCGG